TAATATAATTCAGAAGAGTATGAGCCAGCACACACACACACACACACACACACACACACACACACACACACACACAAATTGCAACCAATGAAGGATCAAGCCAATGAGGCAGGATAGGGAGACTTGATAGGCTGTGTTCCTGTTTTTTGTGACTCATGATTCCTCCCAAGGTCACCCTTAGTTGGTACAAAGTAGCAATAGCTAGAAGAAGGGAAAACCCAACAATATAATAAAATCACAAAGTTTCTAAATTAAGACCTCTAGGGAGGTGAAAGACATGAGTCTTGAAATAGGCAATTCATACCCCTTAGAGTCCTGGAGAAATTTCCAAAGGCACAGGGTGTAACTGACAGAATATTGTTTTGTTGTTGTTTTGTTTTGTTTTTGTTTGTTTCTGGCCACAACCTGTCAATAAAAGCTGCTTCCCATGGAGAGAGAGGGGGGAGGGGAGGGGCTAGAGAGACACACACACATACACAGAAAGAGGGAGAGAGAGAGAGAGAGAGAGAGAGAGAGAGAGAGAGAGAGAGAGAGAGAGAGAGACTGGAATGGCGTGTAGAGACTGGAATGTTACAGGCTCAGAGACTATTTACCTTGTCTTGGATTAGCTTTAGTCTCCATAACAGCCATTCTTTTCCCGCCTCTACATCTGACCTAACATCTGTGACTAATACATAAAAGTCTTTGGAATTTAATAACTAGGCAGACCACTGGCTTCCATTAACCCAAAGGCTAAGAATGTCATCAGGTAGCATCTTAGAGGGATTGAAAAGCTTCCTTCATCTTGCTGTAACCAACTCTCTGGTGTACCCACCAACATATTTAAAAATTTCCTTGACTTATGATTTTCTTTGTTGTGTAAAACTATGAAACTTCATGAAGATTCTTCCATGTTGGAAGATAATTTGAGGTAACTTAAATCTGTGCTCCCCAACCATAGTCACTCCAATTGGCTCCAGAATAAACTGTCTCTTACTCCCTTTAAGATGAAAGCTGTGGTTTTTATGTGTAGAGCAGGTAAAGGCATCGCCAAGCCTGATGACCCGGGCTTGGTTTCTGTGGCCCATGTAATGGAATGAGAGAACAGACTCCTGTGAGTTTTTCCTCTGCATCCACATGCGTATTGCAGCAGGTGAACACACACACACACACACACACACACACACACACACACACACAATACATTTGGGGCAAACAGTCTTCTTTTCCAAGTCCAGTCCAAAAAGTACACCCCAGCCAAGTGTCTCTTTGGCCCCAGCCTTACTATCATTACAAATCTTTCACCTTCAGATACAAGTGCAGAATGAGGGCACACATTCTCCTAGAACTCATCAGTAATAGAAGATTTTGCTACAGGGTAAGCAGTGGTTCATCTAACAGATGACCAATTTAAGCTCAAATTAACACCAAAAGCAAGAGTAGAAATCCATTCAGGTGTAGCTTCACACACTCAAATTAACTGAGTGAATGCACATGTTTTATTTCAGGTTTGGGCACCTTTGACAGTTTACAATCCAGAGGCCTCCTCAGCTCAAGTGGGTATCCATCTAAAAAGATATCCCATACACATAACCAAGAGCCTCAGAGTCAGGAGATGATTTCATTCCTACACTAAAATCATCCTGAAACACAAGTTCACTTGCTTTCTAAAGCCACTTTAAACTTTTCTACTTGGATGTACTCTTTGATTAGTCTGTGAGCTCACTTCTAAAATCTACACTTCTATACTTTGGTGCCTGAAGGCAAGTTCCATAGAGGCTACCATAGTTGCTTCCCCAGAATCAACTGTATACTCAGACCTTCATTGGACTGCCAGGCTGCAAATAATGACATGGGAACTTATTATTAACTATGAAAGCTTGACCTTTAGCTTAGCCTTGTCCCCAAACAGCTCTTACAAGTTAACCCATATTTTAAAATCTACACTGCCACATGGCTTGGTTACCTCTCCTCTGTACCATATGTCATACTTGATCCACATCTCCCTGGTGTCTCTTCATCACTCTTCTTCCCAGAGTTCTCTCTCTCCCAGAAAATCCCACCTATGCTCTCCTGCCTAGATATTGTCCATTTAGTTCTTTATTAAACCAATCATGGTGACATATCTTCACAGAATGCAAGCAAATATTCTGCAACATTTTCTTCTTTTTGTCAAAATAAAAAGTAAAGGACTTAACCATAACACAGTAAACTATATATAATAAGAAAATTATCAAGTAAGAATTACATTTACAATGTCCAGTCGATTTGTATTTGGCAATTTTGGAGAAAACATTCTAGTATCTATCCTAGCTTGATGAGTCCAAAGTTTATACCTAAACCATTCTCTATAATAACTTGCATTACCAACCCAATACTATCGTTTTAGATATCAAAACATTTTCTTAAATAAACAACTTAAACTTTTATGTCTCTCAACCTTATACACATCACATTTCTTTTGTGAGGTATTATTTTTCTAAATTTGGTAATGGGGAAAACTGTAACTATCTAGTTTTCATCCCCCATCAGAGACCAAAGAAGGATATATTACTTGAGTAAACAGGAAGTGTAGAGCAAGCAACTTCCAAAACTATAAAAATGACAAAGACAACTAACTGGCTACCTGGAGAGTCACCAAGATTCTCTGCAGTATTGGGGCATTCATCTTTGGTCTACAGGCCTCGAATATCTGACAGACTTTTCTGTGAAGCAGGAATTTTGAAGGACTGTCCTACCTTGTCTTGGCAAAGTTTGGCAGTCACCTTCATTTGTGCCCTCTGCATTTCTTAATTATCTTAAACAGTTTGTAATAATAGCTTTCAAGGACTAGAACTTTACATTTTTTAATGAGCTGATAGATACAATACATAAACAAGAGTAGAAACATATGTACAGCATATATAACAAAAATAACCTTAATTTTGTATCAATATATAAACATCCATACCAATGTAAAATATTTGAGACTAGTAGGTGCTTTTTAGTCTAAAAGTAGATTCAATAATCTACCCTTTTATCATATACTTTCTATATCACCCCCTTTTCTTTTATGAGATTGCTTAGGTTGTATTTTTCTGACCATGACCAGGAACAACTTGCAACCAACCCCCTAACCAATGACATCCATAATCTAAAAGATGACCTAAAACCACCCATCCCATGTTTGGGGAATGTGGGCATAATGTTCTCTAGGCTTCTTCCAGTTGTCTGGGGGTTATAGCATCTTTAGGAGGCCCTGAAAAAATTGAGATAATGGTCAAGACCTGGAAGAGCTAGTTGGCTGTTGTCTAGTCTATGTGTGATAGGAGAGTGTAGAGCTTATCTGATGTCCTGACTGGAGTAGTCTGTGAGGCTGGACCATCTTAGCTAGCAGCTTAGAAGTTGTGCTGGATGCAGAATTTTGAGGGAGCTATAGCAGAGGCATTCTGATAGGCTGGATCACGTAAACTACTTGTCTTCATTGGTGTCTGATCCTTTTTTACTGAAACTACACACACACACACACACACACACACATATATATATATATATATATATATATATATATATATTCAAGTGAAAGGCATAAGACTCTGTAGCCAACAAGATATTTCATTTTTTATCCAGTCTCATAACTGTTCCCATGTATAGGGACCAGTATAAATATCACCTGTCTTGTAGTTTTTGTTTTGCTTTGTTTTTTTTTTCTTTTATGTCTGCAGTCAAGATTTTCAGGAGGTCTCCCCAATCAAATCTGATCTTTATTAATTTTTAAGAAATTCATAGTCTTGTTTCCTGTGGAAACAAAAGCATAACCTTTCCCCCAATGCAACACAGTTTCTGACTTTCATTGTAAAGTTAAGACATTCTTAAAATATATAGATGAATTTAATTTAACAGTTATTTCTAGAATCCAATGCCTCCCAGCAGTATTTTGTCCTTTGTTCATCAGCATTCAAAAAAATGCAAAATCAACAAAGCAGCATATAGGATTCAGGTACCCTGTATTATGGTATTTCCCATTCTTGCTTGACATTCCTTTTATATTACTTTATTCTCTCTTTAAAGACTTCACTTTATTATTTTTAAACTTTTTTGTGTGACTATCTACACCCTTTTTCTTTTCTTTCTCCAGTACATAAACACCTTTTAAAGCATACTATATCTTTACAGAGGTTTTCTCAGTCTGGACCTGACTTTTGGAGATCTGCAGTATTCTCTGACTGCTTGAGCTAAAGTTTAAACTGCTAAGGAGAGGCTAGACACCATGCTGGCTGGTATCAGCAAGAGCTACATTTATAGCCCTAGCTCTAGGAAATTTATGATCCCACTTTCTGGAATCCCTGTGAGCAGCTGTCTACTGATATCTACCCAAGGAGAGGTCCAGGCAATGACTGCTGCAGCACCAGCCATCATGACTTCTCCGTTTGTGTGGTTGTACCACACATTAGAGTTCCACAACTGTTCTGTGTCCATCACCCCCCTTTGACATCTGGAAAAAAGACCATCCTCCCCTGGAAACCTTTACATTCTACCCTTTCCAAGATTTTTACCATAACTTCCTGCCCTACTTCTCTGATTACAACCACTGCTTCCCATTGGTGACACACATTATACTTATTAATTTGCAAGCTCCATGAACATCACTACCCCCCATTAAACAACTGTTTTAATGAAACTATTCTGCTTATTGCTAATATGTCTGCCACTCAAATCAAGAATGCCTTATGATTTTAAAAAAATGATGCCAAGGCACAGGAAGGTCATGAATTCATTTACTTTAATTGCAGCCTCATCATCAATTTTTCGGTGACACAAGTTATTTGAAACCCTATAGTGGGCCATCACCTTTGATCTAGTTAAAACTACTCCTTCCTGTGCGGTTATTTGTAATATAGCCCATATGGTCTTCATCTCAGTAAACTCTAAACCAAGGTAGCTCACAGCTGCAATCCATGAAAACAACCTAACAGTCAACACCAGACCCTTGTTAAGAGGTTTTGCACACCACGTGGGATCTTCAAAGTAGCCACTCCATTGTCAGAAGGTTAATACCATGACTCTGCTCCCTGCTCTCCTCTGAGTCTCAGTCACTCCCTACCAGCCAGCTGTGCTTCCTGCGGCATCAAGACTTTTGGTTAGCACCCCAGCCTCTCACAGACCTGTAAGCACAAAGCCCTTCGGTTTGGTGCATTCTGGCTCCATATCTTTATTGAGTCTTGTTTGACTCGGACGGAAGCCTCACTTTCCAGCACCAGGGTTCTCCTTTCAAGAGAGAAGTCTCAAAGTCAACTTGGAAGAAACTAACATTTAACGTTCTGAGCTTTTCAGATAGTAAGTAGTATTTGCCTGTTTTCTGACTAAATTATTGTGACAGCTCTCCGAAGCCATGGTGCATTGTATTGTAAGAGAAAAAAAATGAGAGAATCTGCATTCCAGTTAAAGATAGACATGAATAAGGACACTTACAGAGCAGTAAGAACTCAGAAGGGTTAGCCTTTCCTGAAGCCATTTAGGAATATAGGGGAGGAAGAAAGCGTAGTTCCCCCAAAGTCTGTTGTTTCCAATCAAAAACAACCAGGCAGGGACATGAACCCTGAACAAGAGTAGAAAGCATCATGAGAGGCCCCCAGGGAAGAGGTTTGGAAAGGGAGGGACCATATGTAACTGATGAAATGTATGAGAATGGTGAAGACATTGCAGAAGGCTACATGAAGCATGGAGTTCTCATGAGTGACCCACATCCTTGAGTACATTCATGAATTTCCTCCAAATTAAATGTCCATATCATATAAATGTCCTATATCACATAAAGTGACCTTGGGTGGAAGTAATGGAAAGAGTGTCTAAGGCTTAATCTCTGACTTTTTGTCATTTAATACGATTCCAGGAGCATGTCTTGTTCCAATTTTTAAATTAATAAATGAAAATAAGGTGCAACAGTATTTTTAAAATATATATCATGATACCTCATCTTCATAAAACTTCACTCTGAAACTCTAAGTATATTTTCCCAGCATCAGTTGAATTCTTGCTCTACCTAGTTTCTGGAAAACTCCATTTTAAAAGAAATTGCCTTTGGAGGAGAAAACCAGGCACTGGTTAACAAGTTCTACCATGGAGCTAACTTTTCCTGCATAGACCAAATCAGTTGTGCTTTTGGATTTCATCTATGCAGAGTCCTTCACATAGTTGGTCTCAGGCACATACACTTTCAGATTGCTTCTGCCCATCTCCCAGCCTAATTGGCATCCATTTAACATATCACAGAAGCCTCACATACCAAATTCACTATTTGTCTTTTAAGAATTCTTCCCATGTCTCTAAGTTCACTAAAGAGCACCTTCACCACCAGAACCCATAGTCCTGCAGACTAGAAACCTCCAACAATAAAATGGCTTAGATTGCTCATCATCTTTCTGCCAGCATACAGTATTGTGCCTTTCCCCTTTTCAATTTAGCAGCAAAGATTGGGAAATGAAACTGTATTTCTCAGATTTCTTTACAGTCGTGGCTCAGAATACTCATTAGCTCCTGTTGAATGGACGGACTCGCCACTGTGGGAAGGTTGCCTTTTGACCACACTGCCTTTTGAATCAGGGTGTGGAAACATGCAGTTCATTGGATTCTCTCTCCATTCTTCAGCTTCTCGGGCACCTGGAAGGAATTGTGATGGTTGCCATAAGCAGGCTCCCAGCCTGATGCCCAGTGGCAGCCAAGGTGGCAGTGTTGACCGTTCTTTGGGTGAATATCTTCAAGCCAATTATTCTAGCAATGCTTCTGAAAGCCCTGTCTTGGGAAGTCATCTTTGGAGACTTGAGCTGCATTCCACTCCTCTGTCTTTCCCAGGATTTTCTAAGTGCTTGTTCTACTGTTGATAGCCTACCAGGAGCAAGAGAAGGCTAACCTCAGAACTAAGTTCAATTTCTCCTCCTCCATTACACCCCAAATCTAAGCAGTGACAAGTCTCCCCAGTTCATCTGTCCCTTGTGACTCACCACTTTATTTTCCTATCCATAGTTCAGGGTTTGGGGCTATTAGAGAAAGAGCAACAACTTTGGGCCCCGGAATCACCTGCTTGATCTTTTCACTTCCAACCTGTTTTCTTAGATAAATCATTTGATTACTCAGAATCTTAAGCCCTGTGTGCATAAAAAGAGATTGTTACCTGATTTATAGGATCTTGTGAAAATTAAAGATGTCATGCCACAGTCAGGGAGAGATTTCTAGCCTAGAATTTGGTTTTACTCTTTGAGTAAGTTATTATCATTGAACTTGAACCTAGTTTCTGATTCTTGGACCTCCTTCAACCTAGTGTCCTGATAATTTTTAGAGTAATCACATATACAGGAAAATGGCCTTTGACTTCAAATATTTTCATTTCAAATAACAAATTTGAAGTTTTCTAGAAAGCATGACTCAGCTTGAAAATAGAAAAAGTGGGTAAGATAGGTTTGCAATTCTAGACCGACCATCTGCAGAGATGCCGATAGGAGATGGTACTGAGCCTTCCCTGAGACTGACTACTCATGGAGTGTGTAATTTCCCCTCAGGATCTGCCTTCTAAAGTGAAATTGTATTTTAGGGAGAGACAATTTCTGCATTATGTCTTATTAAAGTGTATTAGATGACACAACACTTTATACTGCCCAAAGAAGATAATTTTACCCATACACCTTCTTAGTTGTTGATTTGTACCTTTTTCTTTTTAAGTCCACCTGTTCCTTGATAGTCAAAATAATGTTCTTCCTATGAACAACTGTATTTTGATTTTAATTTTTCTCATTCTTCTTTATCCCCTCTCCCAACTCATGATCATTTGGCAGGGTGTGGTGGCAAAGGCAAGCACATCTATGAATACAATGACCAGTCTCAAAAAAAATACATACATACACATTTATATATAACATGAACAATTAAATATTATTGACTGTCTAGTTTTGGCACTTTCCATAATTTATTCTTCAGTCCACTACTTGAATCTGGCTTCTTTTTTTAAAATATTACTGAATATTGGTAAATATGATGTTAGAAATCCGTGTTATTTCATACCCCTATAATTGTAATTTGTTCATTTTTTATTGCTCAATGGTTTTCTAGTATGTGTTTCTTTCTCTATTTATATGCTTGTCTGACAAGCAAAAGTTGCCTGTGTCAGTTGCACATAAAGTTTTTAATTCAGTGGTCCAAAGTCCAGAAGTTGAGTGAGACTGAAGGAGCATCTCTGTAAATAAATGGGCCATGGTGGCAAGCCAGGAGGGAAAGTACAGTAAGATCTATGGCCACCATGACAGGAAGGGAAAGAACCTGTCTCTACTTTCAAGCTGCTCTGTTTTGTTTTTTTGTTTGTTTGCTTTTTCCTTATGAAGATCTTTCCCCACACAGTAGACTTGTTAACTTTGGAAGTCCTTTGAAGACTGAAAGACGCTTTCTGTTTGTTCAGGCAGGAATGTTCTGATCAGGTCCCTGCAATAGCATTTCTGATGAAGATGAACTGATTTCTGCATACGTTTACTTCCCAAGGAATTCCGGGTAACATTATAGGGTTTTTTCCAACATTTTTTTAATTTTAGTTAGAAATAAGTTTGTTTCACATGACAATCCCAGCACCCTATCCTTTCCCTCCTCCCTCACCCTCCCCACCAGGTTCCCCAGTCCCCCACCCGATCTCCACTCCGACCACCAGTCCTGGCTGAGACTGAGAGAGCATTCCATATTGTGGCATGGGCACTCAAAGTCTATTTGTACGCCAGGGATAAATACAACCCAAGGTCCCATAGATTACCTAGGCCTCCACAATGACACCTACATTTAGGGGGTCTGGGTCAGTCCCATGCTTTCCACATAGCCATAGACCTGGGGTTCAAGAGCTACCCCTTGTTCAGGTAAACTGTTTCTGTGGGTTAAACCAGCCCACTCTTAACTCCTTTTCCCATCAGCTCTCCCTTTCTGACACAGGATTCCAGGACTTCAGTTCAGTGTTTGTCTGTGGGTATCTGCCTCTGCTTTCATCAGTTGCTGGATAAAGGTTCTGTTTCCCAGACTCTCTGGCAGTGGGATTGTATGATGTCACTCCCCTGATTCATGTCTAAAATCCATAAATGAGTGAATACATACCATATTTCTCTTTTTGTGACTGGATTACCTCACGCAGGATGGTTTCTTCTAGTGCCTTTCATTTGCCTGCAAATTTCAAGATTCCATTGGTTTTTTTCCCACTGAATAGTACTCTATTGTGTAAATGTACCACATTTTCTCTATCCACTCTTCAGTTGTGGGGCATCTAGTTTGCTTCCAGGATCTAGCCTACTTCTTTGGAATTCTGTTGTATGCTGAAGACAAGCTGAGATACCCAGCCTCACAGACTGGACAACTACTGAATTCTTGGAACTTCCAATATTGGACTAGTTGGACCACAACCTGCATGTCATTCTAATATATACAGTCTATAAGTTCTGTACCTCTAGAGAACTCTAATACATATGTATGTTTTTTTATATTTCTGCTTTAGTTAAAAACTAGACTACATGTGCTCTACAGTTTTTTTGCATGTAATGCATATTGATGGTTTTCTAAATCAGTCTTCAATTCCCTTGACCACACATCATAAATCATATACACCAAATGTTATGGTTTGACTATGGTGTGTCCCCATGAAAGTGTGTGCTGATACTCAGCTTCTAAAGCAGCAGTAGTAGGAAATGGGGTCTGCTGGGGGATGTTTGGGTCATAGGGATAGAGCCTTCAGGAATGCATGAATGCCTCTGTTACAGGAGCCAAGTTTTTCCTGCCAAAGGACTAAATTGATTTCCCCAAGAGGGGCTGTTATTAAGCAAGCCCAATGATCCGCAGGAAGCTGTGGTAATTTGAAGAAAAATGGTCCCCATAGGACCATATGGAGTGTCACTATCAGGGAAGTGTGACCTTGTTGGAGCAGGTATGGCCTTGTTGGAGGAAGTGAGCCACTAAGGGTGGACTTTAAGTTTTCAGATGCTAAGCCACCCCCAATGTGGCAATCTCTTCCTGCTGCCTGCAGATCCAGATGTAGAACTCTCAGCTCCTCTTCAGAACACCACTATGCTTCCCACCATAACAATAATGGACTAAACCTCTGAATCCATAAGCCAGCCCCAATTAAATGTTTTCCTTTTTTAGAGGGCTGTGGTCATGATGTCTCTTCACAGCAATAGACACCCTAAGACAGCTGCCTTCTGTGATACTGCTAGCTGTCCTACCTCTTCTTTTTGCCAGGCAACATAGTTGTTCCCAGAAAAATATTAGTATAATTAACCATGAGATGCTTTTTTGTTTTTGTTTTTTTGGTTTTGGTTTTTATGAGACAGGGTTTCTCTGTATTGTTTTCAAGGCTGTTGGTCCAGCCCAGCCTCTAACTCACAGAGATCCGCCTGCCTCTGCCTCCCGAGTGCTGGGATTAAAGGCGTGCGCCACCACCGCCCGGCTAATTAACCATGAGATGTAAGAGCATGGTTTTATTTTTTTTGAATTTTTTCAATTTATAATAATAGAAAAATAGGTCTCTCTTATGGTTCCATCGTTGGCTGTTGGTTCTTGCTAAGACATAGCACATAGTGGTAAGGTGGAAAGTTTAGATATAGATTCCTTTGACACAACTCCTGGTTACAACAGTTTGCAATTGTATATCCTTGGTTGAGTTATTTAATATTGATGATAAACTGTAATCCTCAATTTACAGAAGAAATATACAATTACCCCTTGTCTTGTTAATCTGAGGAGTAAATGACCTAATGCATCTGTGTTTAACACTACCTGCCACCTAGAAACCTCTTAATAAGTAGTAGCTATTGTTGCTGCTATTATTAATTTTGCCCCTAACATCAGGCTCCAGTTTTCTCATCATAACATGTACTGGGTAGGAGTGACTTAATTGCTATCTCCTTGGAAATGTGTACATGTAGATGCTCTCAGCCAGCCTTCCCAGATCAGGCTTATTTAAAACTATTTCAAATGTTGAGAACACACAGTTCTTGTTTCCTGACTTGGCTTTAGTTTCATTCCATTATCCACTGCCTGTGGTGCCTGAGGTTTCAATTTGCTAATTGCTATAACCCACCTAACAACATTCTCCTTAGCTCTGCTCTGCAACAGTTGTCTGCTGCACCTTTCAGGGAAGGGTCTGCATTGTTCTTGTTTAAAACAAAATGAGACTTGATAGTCTATATTATTTGGACTACCCTGACCAACCACTCATGAGGGTTCCTCATGCCTGGTACTGGTACTGGGAGTTTTGTTAGTCTATCATTCTTGTAGGTAATATTGTCAATCCAAGTGGCTTACCTTTGATTGATAGATAGATAGATAGATAGATAGATAGATAGATAGATAGATAGATAGATAGCCATGGACCACCCCAGCCAGGTATGGGGGTCCCTGGGATGAGGGTTCCCGAAGACTAGGTGGGTAAAGATTAGGCAGTGACAAACAGAAGCAAACACAGAGGCAGTTTGAATCTGAGTGTATTTTACAGTTCTCAAGCAAGGCTTTGTATAATGAAAACAAATATCATCTTAGGGGTTGTGTTCAGTAAAGCAATACCCAAATGACATCATCCTTACTAGGCACAAACACAACTTATCCAAGGCTAATAAAAATTATAAATTAAAAAATCATTCAAGGCTAACCATAGCTAACCACCTATTTCTAAAATCACATTAATAAATTTTTATGGTTAGTTATTGTTTGACATCTATCACCTAGTTCCCAATTGTTTGACTCTGTTGCCTAGTTCTTGTGAGTCTTTGAAATAGATCAATTTTAACTTTTTTTCTTATCAAAAATCCTTCTTTACCAAACATTAAAACCACTCTCAATCACACATGTACAACCATATGAAATTTTATTGTTGGGAAAGTTTTTATCAATACTATTACTATTTATTTATGTGAATTATGTGAATGATTCAAAAATCACTGGGGATGGTTCTCATTTATGTCTTTTGTTTGAGATGTCAGCTTAGGCTTTCAAGAACATTTTGTTACTATGAGAAAAGAATAGAAAAACAGAAATTGCCATGAGAACTACAGTTCAATATTTTTCTCTGGCCAAGAGTTCCACAACCATTTGCAGGAGACCTCCTTCTTTTGAAGTTATCACCTCAGTCTATGGAATTTGTCACACAGAATCTACTGGATTTGGTGTGGCATTAGATGATAGATATAGACAGACAGACAGATGATAGAGATAGAAGATAGGCATAGATGATCGACAGATAGAATGTGTGTTTATAATTTTAAGTAAATATAAAAGAACTTGATTCCTAGAGGTTTTATCAGACAAACTTGCTGTCATTTGTTCTTCATTCCCCCTTCTCCTTCTGTATTACCTTCCTTCCCTCCTCCACAGTTGGAGGTTCACGTTTCCATTTCCCACTTCATATCACCTATGTTTCTAATCCCTTCCCAAGCTCCCCATCACCACTCATGGTCCCTTTATACTGTCCTGGCTTCTGGGGTTACTCCATGTCATAGACCCACATTTGAAGATGTATGGCTAGGAACTGTTGATGATAGAGAATGAGCAGTGTTTTTGTTTTTCTAGGTCTCGGTTACTCAATATAATCTTTAAAGATTATCCATTTACCTGCAAATTTCATAATTTCGTTTTTCTTCACAGCTGATTAGTGTGTATATGCTCCACATTTTCATTATCCATTATCTGCTGAAGGATGTTTAGGTTCTTCCTACTTCCTGTCGACTGTGACTAGGGAGGCTATGAACATTGCTGAGCTAGTATCTGTACAGTAGGATGTCATGTACTTAATGAGAATTAAAACTGAGCTCAGGCTAGGGTGGAGGAGTGCACACTTTTACATAGTCCAACACTCAGGATGTAGAGGCAGGCTGATCTCTGTGAGTTCAAGTCCACCCCAGTCAAGTTCCAAGTCAGACTGGTTCCAAATTCCAAGACAGCCAAGGTTCAGAGAAATAAAATAAAACAAAAATATTTTCTAAAAGTACAAATAAAACTGAGTTCTGAGTTCATATAAATTACTAATCGGCATATCAGTAAGTTGATGAGTTTTCCTGAGGGGAGTGAAAACTGTGTTTAATTATTAACGAGACATGAATAAGAAATATTTTAATGATAAGAAAGAGCAGAAGGCTCATGTAAGTCTAAAAAAGTTCAGCACAATCATAAGGTAGAAGTATGTAGTGTGTCAATGCAATCTGTAACACAACATTTCTTTAAAAATGATGCTCAGGATAGAATTAAGGCTTAGTGGTAGAGTGTTGCCAATTTGCCTTAGATGCATGAGGCCTGGATGCCCTGGATTTGATTCCCAGCATGTGTCAGGGGAAAGAAAAAAATGGCATATGGATAGGTTAATACAGAACCTCATACACTATAGGAATTCATATATAACTAGTTTATTTACTGTGCAGAATCCAGATAAGCTCTTCCAACACACACACACACACACACACACACACACACACACACACACACACACACACACAGAAGGATGGGCCATAACGTCAGACTTCGTAACTTGGGTCATTTTTTTATTTCTCCTTTGACACAGAATGTCAGGGCAGACACCTTAAAATATTGTTGCAGCAATTGAAGTTAATGCCCACAAGTGACTTTGGTAGTAGTTATTACAACTGAAGAATTGATTATCTTCAATTCTCTACTGAGAAGAGGTTTGTCTGGACTTTCATTGCCATGTCTATAGAGAACCAACCCTTGCTTTCTCAGCTCCTGGAAGGTAGTCTTCAATTCTGAAACACCTGGCATATTCACATTGTTTTATTAACCTGGGGCATGTATCATAACAGATGATCTAACAGTATGATTAAATACAGTCTTTGGATGACACCAGATCAGCTTACCCTTCTGAGCTGCTGGAGACTGATGGCCAACTGTGACTATGTACCTGAGCCCCACTGCAAATCTTGGACACCAGGCTTAGGTAAGTGTCTGCCCAATCAGAAATTGCCACAGTCCCTGACACCACTGAGAGACACAGGTGGAAATCCTGTGCTCAGATTCCTTGTGCTTTTCCCTCCCTTGGGTGATTTCCATTTGTGTTGTTTTGCTAAGATGGCAGCTTTGAATGGAATAGACACAGTGTATTCTACAGTTCTCTCCAGTGAGCTACAAATCTTAAGGTGTTCTTAGTAAACTCTGAACTTTGTAGCTGATGTTAGAAAGGAAGGTGACCTTGAGAACCCTGGAACCCTGCAGTGGACGACGAAAATAACTGTTCCCCAGCCTTCCAGTCTGCATCACACCTTTTTCATAACCGAAAGATAGCCCAATAAAAAGTTTACTTGAAAATAAAACATAAGCAAAACCAGTCCACTGCCAATATGCTCAGGCAGGGCAAAGTAAGAAGAGGCTCAATTTATTAATAAGAAAAAGATCGTTCAAACAACTCAAGGGAAAAACCAGGTATAGCAGGGCCAAGTAAACTCGTCCCTCCTCAAACAGATTTTTCTCAGGTATTTGATCAGAGCAATGAGAAAAAATAATTAATCACAGCATAATGACTTTCTCTAATTCATCAATCCCCTGCCAGAATGGCTTGAAGAGCTGATAAGATGTTTCCATGAGTAGAGCCACTTGCCACCGAGTTACATAACCCAAGTTTGATCCGGAGGGTCCATAGAGTTGGAGGGAACCATCTCCCCCAAAATGTCTTTACCTCCACATGTGCACACACACACAGAGGCACACAAACACACAAACATACACACACATGCACACGCACATATGAGTACAATTAAGATTTTTTTTAAGTTACTGTCTGAGAAAGTCAGCACAGGCTGGCTTTGTAGAATGGGTGAGGTAGAGAAAGCTGCTTTCAGCTATTGGAGGAAAAGGAGACGTGAGTAGCCCCGAGTCAAACAGCGATCAAAGGAAATGGTATTGGCCAGTGCACTACCACACTGTACTTGGTAACCTGAAGAGCTCCCACCTTGAGCTAGGACCACAGCCGAGTGTGAGGCACACAGCCTGCATTCTTGACCCATGGTGCAGTGGCTCAGACAGCACCCTGAGTGCTGTCCCTTCCACAACTGTCTGCCTCTGGCCTATCAACATTTGAAATGCTCACTGTGCCCACGGTCTATATCCGCCACATCCTTTTAGCCTTCCCTAGCATCCCGACTGCCCAGACCCTCAATTCCTCCCCCAGCCCCCAGCCAGCTTAGAGCTGTGCTTGTCATTCCTCTTCCCCTCACCTATACTAGGCTTCTCTGCCTCTTTCCCACCTGCTGTCTCTAACACGCCAAATCCCACCTATAGTGCTGTTCAGGGCATCCCTGCTGGGTACCGGCAATCCTGACCCCCCCAAAAGCCTTTGCTGTCCTCACTCCATCACCTCTGCTTCTATCTCAACCCTGTTTGTTCGCTTGTTTGTTTCCTGGGTCTCGCCAGCTTCTGGTTTATTTTTGTAACTTACTTTCTTTCTAGAATCATGAACTAGACAAACGAGCAAAATAAGGAAAAATAGTGTCATTTCTTTTAACATGAACTAATATATTGAATGGAATTGTTTTGTTCTTTAAAAAATCCCCTTTTAATTTAATTTCCAAGTCATGTTTCCACACTTGCAAAGGAAAACTTTGAAAGAACATCATGTGGAATGGTGTGCTTCACGCTTACAAGCTTCATTGTTTATAGATTATCAGTTGTCATAACTTGATGCTGTATGGTGACCCTCGCTTACTGAATCCAAAGAAATCAGTACTGATTTAGAAACATATTTACAAGAAAACATTGGGAGAATTTAAAATCTGGCTACATCGTTCAATATTAAGCAAATTCTTTATTAAGTATCCTATTTAAGGGAAAAAATTCTCACTTGAAATCATCTGTGTTCCGGTTTCTAGTGGTGTCTTCAGGCAGCTGCACTCCCCTGGCGTTCAGATGTGATGGCCCAGTAGATGGGGTTGGAAGAGATGGCCCAGTGGTCAAGAGCTACTTTTGAGCAGGATCTGTGTTTGGTTCCTAGCACCCACATGACAGCTCACAACTGTATAACTCCAGTTCCAGGTGGTCCAACACCCCCTTCTGGCTGTCAAAGGCACATGGCACACGTTGTGCAAAATGCATGTACCTGCAGTCAAAACCCTGAACACTGAGACACAGAAAATAAAAATAAATAAATCTTAAGAAGAACAAAGACCCATGTATCCAGGATGTAGTTCACTTTTCAAAGAGAATCCCAAAGATGTTCCCACATGAATGTGGGGCCTTGGGGGAAATATTCTTTTGATGAAAGAAACACAAAGATTCCTTTTGAGTCCTGTTCCCAGAGGGCATTTCTTCACATCCAACAGTTAGGTTCCACCTTAGAAAGTTATCTTGTTTTTACAGGTCTAGAAAAATAGAGATGCCATGCTAGTTAAGATATGAAATCCTGGGACTTTATTCATCTCTCTGTGTGTTCTCTTTAAGCAGAATTGCATCAAAAAATCTTTCTCTTTCCTCCTCCAAATGAAAAATTAATATTCACTCAACCAATTTTTTGTTTCTTTATTATTTACTTAGTAGTTTTTCAAGACAGTGTTTCTCTGTGTAGCCCTACCTATCCTAGAACTAACTCTGTAGACCAGGTTGACCTTGGATTCACAGAGATCCACCTGCCTCTGCCTCCTAAAGTGCTGGAATGTCATCACTACTCTGCCAATATTTTGTTGTTAAGAATGGCAGTTTTTAACAGTCTGCCTTAGCCACACAGTGTTCTGAAAAGATCCACAGTACTTGTATCATCTAATCCCCCCCCGGTCATGCTGTAAAACCTGCAGAGGATGTCGGGCCTGTTACAGCAATTCCTTCTTGCCCACCATTGGTACCTGCCATTGTTTTATTGGCTACTACCATTGCTGGGGCCATTTGGTGTGTTCTCAAAGTCTATAGGATCCTCATGGCTTCTCCCCAGAGCCAGGCTGGCAATGACAAATGTCAAAGCGGCCTGGGGCATGTCTTCTTCTCTGAAGCCAACGTATACCCTCCCCACCTTTTAGGCCTTCCTTGTCCTATTGTCCCTTTCAGCATATCCCCTTGCTGTCTTCAAGAATTAACCTGCTTTCACCCTTGTTACTGACTAAAACTATTAGAAGGTGAGCTGCTAGCAGTTTGGTACTCTATTAAAAAACAATGAATGTGTCTAAATCTGACATCCGAGACACTGGTAAAGACTACATGGTAGCGCATTCCGCTGACAGGCTTAAAGACTTCTGGTCAATGAATTCTCATTAATTTAAGTATTAGGAAGACTGCTCTAGATGAGAGGTGTCTTTACGCTGCTTGATGGACATATTTCCTCCGTTCCCCACATCCCTTTTTCCTAATAGTTCACTTCTGGCTGGTACTCATTAAAGCTGTTACTTCCAAATCAGATTTCACCTGGGTGATGGGGACAATGCCCACTGTGGGGTGTCACCTCCAGTCAATATGCTGAAGTCGGGGCCCCTGGAATATTACAGTGTGAGCTTACTGAGAGGAAGGTCACTGCAGATGGGATGGATGACAATGAGTCATTCCAGAGTAGGGTGGGGCTTAACCAAACGTGTACAGAGTCCTTATATGAAAGAGAAGGTGTACACAGGGATGTTGGGTGAAGAAGGCCATGTGACAGTTAAAGTAGATGTGTAATCTTACTTTCACAAACAAAGAACACTTGGTGCTAGTTGAAGCTGAAATAAGCATGGCTGGGTCTAGAACCCCTAGAGCAGTGGTTCTCAACACTTTAACATAGTTCTTACATTGTGGTGACCCTCAACCATAAAATTATTTCATTGCTACTTCATAACTGTAATTTTCTTACTGTTATGAATTGTAATGTAAATATTTTTGGAAACAGAGATGTGTCAAAGGAGCCATGACCCATAGATCCAGAACCACTGCCCTAGAGGTTTTATAGGGATTGTGGTCTGTTGATACCTTAATTTCGGACATCTTGCCTCAGAACTATAAAAAAAAAGAAAGATTTGTTTCTTGAGCCTCTCTCTTTGTGGTACTTAGTTACAGCTGCCCTAGGAAATGGCACATCAACCGAGTGCTAACTTTGCCAGCAATTCACTAATCACTTTAGCCAACAGCTACATACCTACTAGGTGTCTACTGCTGACTCTCAGATTATGTGCTAGGAACACAGAGATAAATGACATGGTTCCATTGTTCCCATGAGGTTCTAATCCCAAGAAAGGGCAGGACACAGGGCACACAAACCAACAGCCAGCCCAAACCAGAGAGATATGAGTTCTAGACAAACACATACCTGGTGCCTAAAGAAATGGGAAAACATCATAGGGTTGACATTTAACCTGGATGTAGGGACATGTTAGAATTCAGTAGAACTGGAAGGAATGGGAAATTTTGAGATGGAAAGATCAGCATTGAGGGGGGAAAAACATCACCTTAACATTTTGCTAACATTGCCAAAGGAATAACTGGCCACATTCAAATCCACGGGCATGACATCCTACGGTAGCACTGTGAAGCAAATCATGTAGCCTTTGACTTCTGATATTACCGAAACTTGCAGTATCCTCTTGCTTGCTTGTTGAGAAGAGATAATGCTAAGATGAAATGACAGAGTCCTTTAAAGACTCCATCATCAATTCTGGGTCAAAGGAGGTTCAATTCTCCTCCCTCAACTTCTCACCTTAAAGAACTATTTTAGCATTAAATGTCTTCTAAAAATAATAGGACCCAAAAGAGACAGACCATGTCACTAGTCGGGTTCCAGTACTGAGTCATGGTGGCCCTGGTGCTGCTAATAGGACTAGAAGAGGACCCTCCTGTTTCTTCTGTCAGGTGAAGTAGCTGACTAGCAACAGCTATTTGTACTAAATCAGAGTTAAATGAGTTCATTCATGTGGTGTCAATCTGTACAAAATTGATTCACTTGCTTTTTATGCAGAGCTCAGAAAGAACAATGCCAATTACTTCCACAAATAGCAAGGAACAATCCTGTTGAGGAGTGCCTTTAGTATAGCTATTCCTTCTAGAATAAAGCCTTCCTACCTTTATCTTCCCTCCCTCCTTCCTTCTCTTCCTTCCTACCCTCCCTCATAAAAAAATATTTTAGGAATTAAAAAGATACAACTCTAATAGGAAAGTTACATTCTTCCTTGGCTTTTGCCACCACCACTGACATGGTTAGGAATACCAATTCTTAACATTTTCTGAATGATTTTTTTAAATCACAATTCATACTCTGTGGGACAGACATTCACTCCTGTTGTGTAGCAGATGGGGAAAGTGAGACCTGATGACATTAGGTGACTTACAGCAGCACAGTTAAGAGAATGACAGATAGGACTCAAAGCCAAGCCCATCTCACTTCACCATCCACATCCCTCATAGAACTTCCTGGGTTGGCCTTGGCCCGGTTAAAACCCAACTACAGAGGTCTGTGACTCATGAGCACCGGGCAGTGCCATCGGCAGCCCCCTTCTGAGCTGAAATGCCGTGCTATTCCCTGGAACATTGTCTGCTCTTCCAAAGAAATGGGCATCCCAGTTCTCCAAATGATGGAAGTTTAAATGCATGGTCAGCTCATCTGCCCAGTCACATTGATTATGAACAGATCTAGTAAACCTCATTTTCCTGTAGAACTTTAATATAGCAGAAAGAAACCGAGCACTGTTCTCCAGATGTGTGTTTGCTGTGGCATTGGTGTTCTACTAAATGCTTTATTGATACTTTTATGAGACGGGTATTTTTGTTATTATCCAATGTTTTACAGGAAAACCTGAGACACACATTTAGTGCATTTATATATCTGTATATTCACTCATACTTCATCTGAAATTCAAATTTAACCAAGTGTCTTTTCCCTGCTTTGTTGTGTTTTGCTAAATCTGCCAAGTCTCCCTCTACACTGTCTCCCTAAGTGTTCAAACGCCACCCAGAGGCTGCTTAGTCCCCCTTCGCTCCAACTGCATGTCCTGTCTCCTTTTCTGGTGTGCTAGTACTAGCAGACCTCTGCGAGTTTGCACTCCTGCCTTCCCCTGTCCAAACAGCACACATCAGGATGTGCTTCCCACAGAAAGAATTAGCAAAAGAGCCTTCTTTTAAAAAGTCTTTCCTTGCCTGGAGTGATGGCACACTCCTTTAATCCCAGCCCTTGGGAGGCAGAGGTAGGCTGATTTCTGTGTTCAAGGCCAGCCTGGTCTACAAAGGGAGTTCCAGGACAGCCAGGGCTGTTACACAGAAAACCTAAACACACACACACACACACACACGCACACACACACACAAACCTGTCTCAAAAATCAAAGAATTTTTCCTTGACACTCCCACCCTCCCAGGTACAAATGCAGGATTTTAGTCTGAATGTTGAAGTCTTTTCTCATTGATGTGTATTTTGCGACTTTGATTACCAGTTGCTCAGTCCACTCTTTTCATCGTATCCCATCCTGAAACCCACTTTCAGCTTTTCTTTGCTTCATCAGTAGCAGGGTCATTTTTGTGATGAAACATTTTTTGAGTCAAAATCATAAAATACAAAATATTTGTTCAGCTGCTGACTTCATGAAGTCATCACAGTTGGGTCTTTGAGTTTTCTTTTTTTTTCCCAAAGAATAAAATGAATAGACCTGTGGACCTCAGGAAGGCATGGGGCTGTGTTTTAATGTCACTATGGTCAACAAATGAAGGGACTTCTTTTGTAATTATTTTCCCAGAAGCCGGTAAGGTTTTAAATGGCCTTTCTGGCCTTCCCACATCTTCCCCATCCCCAAGCAGCAAAGGTTCTCAGATGTCTTCAGACAAAAGTATTTGTTTATTTCTTGTACTGTAGCCTTGCTACCTAAGGAAGTCAGAGAGCAAACACCTGTAGGCCACTCTGAAAACCAAGCAACTCAAGATCTATACTAGGTTATTAAGTTCAGAACTGGGGGATCAGAGGGCACCCAGAGAATGGAGAAGATGGAAACTTGCACACAAAACTGCACTCGCACTTAGCAACTGCATAGCCTCAGCAGAACCGGTTTTCAACAACTCAGGAAGACAACCCATCTACCACTGGCATTTCCTATAACACTTAGGTGCTCTGTCACATTAATTATCTACTTTATTTGTCAGACATGATTTTTTTTCTAAATTAAACGTACCTCACCCTCAAGTAGAAGACTCAGAGGTGCAGACTAAATCACACCTGATAAATA